ACACTGGGGATTCAGGATTTCAACAAATGCATTTGGGTTATTCAGGGGAGATGGGGGTGGGGGAGACACAAACACTTAGTCCATAACACAGTTTCAGTTATTTAATTTAATTTTTTATGAGACAAGGTCTTGCTCTGTCACTCAGTCTGGAGTACAATGTCACAATTATAACTCACTGCTCTGTCTTGAACTCCTGGCCTTGGCCTCCCAAAGTGCTGGGATTACATGCATGAGCCACTGCACCTAGCCTAGTTTCTTTTAAAAAGCATCTTTTCACACTATGTCTGGCAAGAAGACATTGAAATGTGGAGTGATAAGGTCAAGCGTGGAGAAGGGCCTCGGTGGGGAATTAGTTGTGCTGAGGCCCAGCAGGGTGGGAGGCTTCAGGGCACCCCACTCTCCTGGGATGGAGAGGGTCTGGATAGGGCAAGGCCTGTGATGAGCCATGTTCCTGGCCTGGACTCTGAAGGCCATTGCCCCTGGGGCTTTCTGCTCATCACCAGTCCAACTGAGAGCTCCCCATTTGAAGAAAAGCAATGTCTGGCTGATCTGGGAGACAGTTGTCTCCATCCCAGGGCAAATAAAGCATCAGAGGGAGGTGCTCAATGATGAGGGAACATCAAGTTGCTTTTTATGGTTTAAATTAAATGGGTTAAATAACGTCAAATTTATTTGTTGACATCCTAACCCCCATGGCCTCAGAATGTGACCTTATTTGGAAACAGGATTGTTGCAGATGTAATTAGTTATGATGAGGCCATACTGGGAAAGGGTGGCCCTCTAACCGAATGTGGCTGGCGTCCCTCTAAAAAGGGAGAAGGCCACATGAAGATTCATGCAGAAGCTGAGGGAGTGCTTCTGCAAGACAGTGCACACCAAGATTGCCAGCATACCAGCAGAAGCTAAGACAGAGGCGTGGAACAGATTCGCCTGCATAGCCCTCCGAAAAAACTAACTCTATCCACACCTTGATTTTGATTCCCGCCTTCAGAATCGTGAGACAGTAAGTTTCTGTTGTTTAATTAAGCCACTTAGTACTTTTTTATGGAAGCCCTAGAAAACGAATACAATGTTAATTAGGTCAATGAATAGAGTCTTAAAAAAAGATGAAAGCGGACAGGGAGTAATGGTTTGGAGGAGGAAGAGGTGAAAAGTTGGGTTGGGAAGCCCTGGTGGGAGAGCCACAGCGCAGGCCATTGAGACCCTGGACCCATGTCATGCCATCTGCGGTAGAGAATCATGCATCCTTTAAGAAATAGCTCTTGGCATGTTACTGGGTCCTAGTGGAAACAGAACATGGCCATGGACACCAAGTGGCAATGCATCCAGAACTGCCTATTATGAGCTGGGCTCTGTCAGAGCTACCAAGTTATAAAGTCAGACAGGCCCAGTACCCATCTATTGTGGTGTGGAAATATTACATGTGGTGTTGAGCTTGAGTAGGACCTGAGGGCATGACTAACTTGCTAGACCTCATGGTCACCCACCACAGTTGGATTCCCAGCTTGTGCCTGTGGCCATAGAGAGGAATCCTGTATGATCAGCTGGAAGAGGAAGCAACATAGTTTACTCTTGGTTTACAGGTGGATCAACTCAGTACATGGGTGCAAGCCAAAAATGGAGAGTGGCTGCATTTCCCCTACATTTAGGGTGACCCCAAAAGGCAGTAGAGAGGGAAAAATCTTCCCAGTGGGTGAAGCTTTGAGCAGTGCACCTGGTCATCTACTTTGTATGGAAAGGAAAGCGGTCAATTACCTGGTTAGGGGTCTGGAAAGAAAAGGACTAGAGGCAAGGCAACGTGGGTAGAAGCATGTGACAGACATATGGGAATGGGTACCAAGTATAAGGATTTTGAATCATATGTTCACCACTAAGTATCTGCTATCAACTAGGTAACTGAGTAGACAAAAGGACTTGACCTGTTGACATTGGTCAGTGTTTTAGTTTGTTGAGGCTGCTATAACAAAATACCATGAACTGGGTGGCTTATAAACAACAGAAATTTATTTCTCACAGTTCTGGAGGCTGTGAAGTCCTAGCCTGGGAACCATGATTCCATGTCTGATAAAGATCAACTTTCTGGTTCATAGATGGTGCCTTCTTGCTGTGTTCTTATGTGGTAGGAGAGGAGAATGAACTGTCTGGGGCTTCTTTTATAAAAGCACTAACCTATTCATAAGCGGTTCACCTTCATGATTTAATTATCCCCCAAAGACTCCACCTTCTGATATCCTCACCTTGGAGGTTAGGACTTAAACATGAATTTTGGAGGGGATGAGGGTGCACTTTCAGTTCCTTGCAGCCAGCCTTGATAATAAGCCATCCCACATTGACACGATGGACTCATGAGTGGAGTGGCTATAGCATTAGAGAGGAAGATATGTGTGAACTTAATAG